CCCGACTTAATCCCAACAACGGTAATTTTTCGGTTATTGACCTTGCTTTCTCAACTCCTACCATTGCCCAATGTCTTCTATGGCAAGTCCTTCCTGAAATTTAAAGTAGTAATCATCTTCCTATCATGATTCAAATTTTCAGCCGTTCCTATGATAATATCCCACCGTCCATGAAATGGGACTTAAAAAACCCAAATTGGAAACTCTTCTCACAATTCCTAGAAAAAGATTCCAGTAGTAATAACTTATTTGAAAACAATATAAATATTGACGAGATTATATCAAAATTCACTGTAAATATTATAAGGGCAGCAGAAATAATAATAGGTTACCAAAAACAACAAGGAAATAAATGTCGTATACCTTGGTGGAATAACGAGATAAAGGCTAGTATAAAAAAGAAAAACAAAGCACTTAAGATATATCAACGTACAATTAGATTAGAAGACCACATAAAACTGAAAGAACTTAGAGCCAAAACTAGATACTTAGTGAAAAATAGCAAAAAAATAACATGGCACAATTTTACAAGTAACATTTGCGCGAAAACTGACCCAGCAACCATGTGGAACAAAATAAGGTGTTTACAAGGACGCAAAAATACACTAGCATTCAATTAGTAAAAAACGGAGAGTTAATAATAGATTTGTTCACAATTGCTTCAAAACTAGGAGGGTTTTTTGAGGAGAACTCAAATAACTAGAACTATGATCCCGAATTTTTCAATAATTTAAACGAGTCAAATATCACACTAAAAACATCGGACATAATAAATACAGAACCAACCCAAATATATCTAAACTCACCGATTACTATGAATATTCCATTTATTTTTATACATTGCTTTTCCACTGACACACTTAAAATATTACTGCAAATTTATAACTATATCTGGAAAACACAATGTTTTTCCTAAAGCATGGAGGAATAGCATAATTATACCAATTAATAAGCCAGGAAAAAATAAATTTATTCCTGAAGGATATAGACCAATCTCATTAATTAACACCATATGTAAACTTCTTGAAAAAATAGTCAATAAACGTTTGACGTGGTATTTCGAAAAAATAAACTTTCTAACAACGGGACAAAGCGGGTTTAGGAAAAACAAAGGAATTAACCATTATTTAACACAAATACACAGTGAAATCCAAAACACTTTTTCAAAAAAATAATATATGGGAATGGTAAGCTTAGATTTAGCTAAAGCTTATGACTCTACGTAGAAACCACTTATCATAAATAATCTTAACAAAATATTAAGCGCAAATCAACTTTACAACTAAGTATGCAGCTTCCTAGATACTAGAACCTTCCAAGTCAAAATAAATAATTGCCTATCAGAAGTATTCTTTCAACGAAAAAGAATTTTTATGTCTGTTGCCACTTTTTCTTAGCTCTCACTGGATCGATTTCTTTCAACAATACGTCAAAAGATCATAAATCGTATCTAGTTGAAGACATTACCCTTAAAAATTGAAAAATTTTCCCTCGTTCCCCGCAAATAGGGAAAATATCCAAAAAAATTACAAATTTAAAAATTGGTAAATTTTGTCATTTTTTTCACTTTTTTTTCTTAAAACTTCCATAACTTTTTCAAAAATCAATAAATCAACATAATTTTTTTTTTATACTAAAACCTTAGATACTTCCCTTTCATTAGATATCATTTTTTTGAAAATCTAACACTTAACCTGCTCATTGGAGGGGATTTAAAATAGCAACTTTTTTACAAAAACTAACTTTTTCAACTTAATTTTTGAAAATGTTCCGGAAATACTGCGTCCTTTAAACATATATCAAATTAAAGCTTATTTTATGTACTATAAAATGAAAAAAAAATTTATCCCAACGACCTATTTTCTATACGCAAATGGCTACCGTATTCAAAAATATACAATTTTTGTGTTAAAATCCTAGGTTTTGTATTTTATTTTATTTTAAAATATCTTATAAGGGCAATACACTGATTTTCATGAATATTTTATAATTTAATTGACATAGAATAAAGTTCATAAGACATAAGAAATTAAACTTATTAATTTTTTTTGCTTTTTTAAAGTCGAAAAAGTAATTTTTAAATTTAAGTCTGCTTAAATAGTAAATTTTATCATTTGGCGAAACTGATTAACAGTTGCCCAATCGGTAACACTTGACTCTTTCGTACTTAAGATACGAAGTTCAAATCAGTCTGTGACTTCTAAAATTTTGCATTTTTTTTTCGAGTTAAAATAAAATTTTCAAATCATTTGATATTTATCTCATTTAGATTCAATAACTTCAATAAATATAAAGAATCCTATCACTATAGTCTCACCTTGTGAAAAGAAATTTAAATTCATGTTAATATTATTTCACTATGTGGTTCTTTTTGTGGCTACGATTTATTTTGCCAACCCTCACTAGACCTACTATTTCAACAATACGTCAAATAATTATAATTCGTATTTAGTTTAAGTTATTACTCTTAAAAATCGAAAAAATATTCCTTATTCAAACAAAAAGTAGCTGAACCAGCTTTTTCCATACAAACAATTAAAATCATTAATTACTAATATTCTAAAAGTATTCACTGTCGAATTAGATTTGATATGATAAAAGTATTCAACTACAAAAGTAAAGAATTTTACATTGTAATTTATTAATTTTAGCTTCGATGCGAAGCTGAGAAGGTATTATTTTACTAAGATGTGTTTTTAGCTTTGATGCGAAGCTGAGAAGGTATTGGTTTTACTAAGATGTGTTTTTTTTTTTTTTTTTTTTTTTTTTTTTT